TAAAGTTTTAATATAAGTCTTTTCATGTAGATTAGGGAATATAGTGCTGATTCTTCTTAATGTATATGAGCATACATTCATACTCGGATATAGAGCATGCTTAGGAATAAATGTGTTCTGTTATATGTGTAAAAATACGTCAAGTTTATATTATCTATTCCTAATTATAAATAATATTTTGTCTGCAATTTGAAAATTGCAGAACTATTGATTATCACTGGAGCTGTGTGTTTCCCATTCTTTTATCTCGAGAACGAAGTTAGATAGGTGAAAGTCGAGAGCAGATACAGAAATCTTTCGGCAGGAGACCTCGTTTAATTACGTACGAACTTACACTCATATACGGAAGTCACGTTATTTCAACTCAAATCTTTTCTTCTGAATAGAGTGAGAGAGATGACCGGTATGACTCTATTATTAACAGGAAAAGCATGATTTACAGGTGCAAGACAATAGTAAAGTGAAGAGCATATATTTTATATTTAACAAATCAAAAATGTAATTAAAATTGCTGCTAAACATTGCGATGATTTACAATAAGCAATTTTTAATTTTAAACTCATTCGATAGAGGACAATATATATAAAAGAAAATTAACGCAGTGTATATATATATAGATCCGAACTTTCTATTTACTTTAAAGGTATAGAAGTTTTGAGCAATTTTATTATTTAATGTAATTATTTTTTACGTCATTTTTATGTAAATTAAATTGAAAAAAATATATAACTTACTTTAAGCATGTGATTAATAGAGAAAGAAAACTGGTAGAATAAACAAACATTACTGCAAATTGCAGGACGAACAACGAAAGCAGTAATAACTATTCTAATGATAGTTCTATGCTATATATTAAGTCAGCACTTGAGGTTTAATAATTTAAAATGAAATCCAATGATTACTTGCATACTAATGTTTGATTTATTGATTCTTGTGAACACGCCATCTACAATACAAACTAATCCAGCTTGGTTGCTTTGAAAACTTCTTTTAATCTTTACGTAGATTGCAGTACGGTAAGTAACAATAATATTAATACATCTTATTTCTTAACCGTTTATTTATTCATAATATATTAAAAATTCATTAGTTATTAAATAGTTAAGAATAAAAGTTAAACTGCAATTGTTAAAATGTAGAGTTATATATTCCCAGTGTTTTACTGTACTTTTGTTTGTCATTTATTAATTAAAGAACGGAATTAGACATATCAAAATCGGGACCTGATAAGGAAGTCTTACTTGTTAGTGACCGAGGTCCCGATTAACTATGTACTAACTTCTGTTCTTGAACAGAAGTCACGTGGGTTCAATTAAAATTTTTTTCGTAAGCAGAGTTAGATAGATGACCGTCGTGACTCGATTTTCATCAGGAGAAGTACGATATAAAGCGGCAAAACGCCTCTAAAATCCAGTCGTCAAGTGATATTTTTCTTAAATTAAAAGATTATTTAGGATTGGAGCCTGGAATTGTGATGACGTGACATTAAATAACCAAATATACTCCAACAACTGCCGTAAATGATCGGGCTAAATTTGGATATAATGACTATAAATTAGAAATGAATTTGGCACTAGAGTGAGGCGTTAGGAATGGTTATATCTTAAACTTATATATACTGGAAGAGGAGATAGGACCGAAGGTCTGGGTAGCGCAACTAGACAATGCATCCACACGCTAAGCGTGCGTTGCCGGTTCGAATCCCCGCTTCGAGCCGATTCTTTTCTTCCAGTTTAATCTAAATTTATTAATTAAATATTATAAATACGATAGAATAGGCAGTTGTATGTTGCCAGATATCAATTAATTTAAAGGTTTCATTTAAATTTGTTAGATCATCAGGAGGGATATAAAAGAACATTAGTTTATTATTTATATTTGCAAGAATAGATTTGTTGATTGAAATAAAAACAGAATGCAGTAGTCAGATTTTTTTTGTTTGTATTATTTTACAATTTTTTTTATTAATATACATAAACCACCACTCGGTCGACCTGGGTCCGTTTGTTTATATNGTATATTTAAAATTTATATGTCTAATAATATAAAAGTCTGTCAGATTTCTTTTAAGTGAGAAATTAATAATAGAAATTAAAGTTTTATTTTACAATGTTTGATATTTACGTTTTTTTCTTGTAAGATATACTTCGGAGGAGTCCAACATTTCGCCCGAACAATTAAGGATGGAATCTGAAAGTTTCGAAGAAAGAAGTTAACATTTACTACCTGTGCCTGTTGGTTTGTGTGCCATTACTGATTCTGTTATAAATTTATAAAAAAAAATATATGTTTATAAGTTATTTCAGAGGTTATCCAAGTTTCTGTTATTGCGATGATATCAGGTTTAAGTTTGGAATAAAAAGAATTAATTAGTGAAATTTTATGTTTGAGGCCTTGACTATTCTAGTTGAGAATAGAAAGAAGTTGGTTATTCATAGTAGTTTTGTTTTCCTGCATATCAACTTGCTGTATTTGTTAATCTGGAAAAAGGAAGAAAAGTATCCACATGGACTAAGTTTCCAGTATTTAAACTATATAATAATAGGACGTGAAAAATTAACAAAGTGTCGTTACATAGTTTGGCGGGAGGATTTTGTTTTCGCAAATCATAAAAAGTTGGAAGTATTTTCGTCTAATTCTTCAGTTTTTTGTTAAATCCGGGAGATATTTGCATATTTTCCCAATCTTCCAGCAGGTTCTGTTGTTTCAAAGGTAGAAAAAATAAGATCACGAATATGATTATTGCCAAGGGTTAGTGTTGTAATTGAATTTGATGATTTAGTTAATTGGACTATTTCCAGGATATCTTCTTCTGCAGTGTTTTGCAAGTTTAACGAAGTAGTAATGAAGTTATGAATTTCTGGTCTAGAAATAGTTTTGGTGTTAGGATAATTGTATAGAGGAGAAGGAGGTATTATGGAACACCGCTGGTATTATGGAACCACCCCATTTCGAACTGATAATAAAGGCGAACTGTAGCGGATTGTTGCTGAACTGAACTAGGCAGACATCCATAGCAAGGGGAAAACCCGTTTTACTTCAGTTAAACAGTTGTCCGTATTTAATCAGCAAATTTGTTTTTTTTTTTTTCCAAAATTCGCAAGTTTTGAATGCTAAGTGAATTTAATTATTTTTAAAATATAAATCGTGTAGTTGTAGGTTCACTGGTGCATGTATTCCGTTCCAGAGACTTAGGGGTACATATTAATCTGTGTGATGTTCACGTTTTTTAAATTTTGGTCTCGACAGACATAAGTTAATTCGAGATGGCGATGCGTGAAATACGGACCCCATTGGTGCTTTTACAGTAATATGGAACTCAACTCCTCCGAACTCTCTCTTTGCAAGCAGACATTCGTCCGGAGCAATTTGTGAAAAAGACACTAGGTAGAAAGTCAATTCTTCCTGAGAATATCGAAAAAGAGCTGCTGGAATATATATTGTTGATGGAGGTCATATTTTTCTATTATAAAAGCATTTTTTCGATAAAATACATTGGAGTAAATGATTTTGTAATTATTTAACATTCTTTGTACTTTCCTATTTGTTTTTGGCTACATTAAAGCATTTTTTGAAAATATACGGTAAGGTACCTTATTACCACCCGATTTTCTCTAAGCCTACTTTCGGACTTTTTGTACAAAAGCCTTCAAAAACCATACTTATAGTTACACTAACGAAAAATCCAATTAGGAACATTTAGTTTAATAGTTACCAGTACTTTTTGCACAAAAAATGTGAATGTAGTTACGATACCTTGTATACAATTCACTAAAATGTAATTGGGGTTCCAGAATACCACCTTCTCCTCTATAATTATATTATTGTAGTGATAATCATTAGTTAGAGTCCATTTTAAATTGAATAGTCCTTTTCTACTTGTAATTTGTCGACCTGTTGTTTCAGGTTATTTATTTGTTCCTTCATTTTTTTCTGTTGTTCTTTGGTTTCACGGATGTTTTCATATATAAGATGAAGATCTTATATAATATACATTTGACTAAAAAGTTTATCGTTGGAAGTATTTATCAAGTTGGAGATTTTGTTCCATAGAACTGTAGTAGAGGTGTCTAATAACTTGTCCGGTTTGTTAAGTAGGATCATCAAGTTAATTGACTCGCCTGAGAGACTGAGTACTTTGTTGTAATAAATTTAAGTTAGGGTTCACCTCCTCTGTGAAATTTTTATCAGTGTATTTATCCGAGTACAGTGGGTGATCGGATAGCGAACAAAGTCTTGGAAAGGATTATGTTCGTTAACCGATCATCCACTGTATAAGTTAAAATCCGTTATTAGAATGAAGTTTGTTGAGAATGGTTGATTCCTTTTGCCCTCTGGTTTAGATCGATTCATTGGCGGTCTTTCACGCTTTAAAAGAGATCGTTGCATTTTCGTTGATATTAATATTATCTCTGGTGATATTCGTTTAAACAATATAAATCTTCCAAAATAATTATAAAAAACCGATGTAGTCAGAAATTTTTTCTTTTTTTTTTTCCTTCTTACATAAATGTAAAATACGAAAAAAAATATTTTTCTTTCTCTTCTGACTTTTTGGATAATATATAACTTCAATTTTTAAAACATTAAGCCAATAATGACTATAAAATCTTTCAAAAAAAAGGTTAAAAATGGTATAAAAAGAAAGAAAATAATTTGCAGAGAAAAAGCTTTTATTTACATTACGAACAAGCTTCCCAAATGCATTTCGCCAAAGGCCTCTTCAGTGGGGCTTATAGTACACAGTGTACATTCTGACAGTCAACTCATTAAAGAGCCACTTATATGGTTAACAAAAAATTCCCAGCATTCCGCTGTTAACATTCCGGTATTTAAATTTACATTATTGTTCTGCATAATTATAGCGAAATGTTCTTTTACCTTTCGCTTTACATTGTTTTTTTTTCTTTAAAAATTATTTTTAATTTATTAGTATTAATCTGACAATTATTACTATTATAATGTTAGAAGAGAGGAGAATTACTAATTTTTAACCTTACGGCAGCCAGATGTTCCGACAGTCGAATCTTTAATCTTCGTTTTGTTTTACCAACGTGAAAACTAGGGTTGTTACACGTGCATTCTATCCGATAAACAACACCTTCTTCCTCTAATAAACATTTTTTGGTACTTCTTATAATCATTATATTTGATAACCTGTTATTTAAGGATGGAGCCAATCTAATTAATTTTTTATTAAAAAACTTATTATATTTTTCATAAATACCTTTTATATACGGAAATGATACATACTGTGTTATTTCTTGACGACGCACGTTTAACTTTAAATCTGTTTCCTAAGAATCTATGGTACCAATCATTTAGTAATCTTTTTGGTAATGTTTCTTATGTGTATCTTCAATGTCTTTCTCTCTTTTATCTATATTTGTTATTCTAGAAAAAATCTTTGTTATTTCCATCAGATATACATTATATTCTTGATTTAAAGGACAGTATGATTTATAATTAATTACTTTTCTCGTATTACACGGTTTTTCAAATTTACAGTATTCCAAATGATCTTCAAATCTTTTAATTGTTATATCTAAATAACTTAATTGATTATTTAATTCATGTTCTTGAGTAAATTTAATATTCAAATTAATTTTATTAGCTTGTTGCAAAATTTGCAAATTTGTTGTTACTGCACTATCACACGCTATCAAAATATCATCGACGTACCTTGCAAAAAACTTAACTCCATTTAACGTTGATAAAAACATGTCCACATCCAGCATATAAATTTCGGCTAGTTTTGGTCCTACTACGGAACCCATCGAAATACCTTCTGTTTGCCGATAAAAGTTTTTTTCCTTCACTGTAAAGTAATTATTATCTAATGTGAAGATAATTAAATCTTTTAAATAATCAGGGACACCATACTTACATAGACTGCTCACAATCATATCTTTAGTAATGGAAGGGTATGTACAGTACATAGATGTTATATTCAAACTCATCAGTTTATAATTAGGCAAGATTACACCTTTTTGTAATCTTGATATTAAGTCATCAGCATTTTTAACTGTATATTTCGAGTTTTGTATATCCTGTAATAACTTTTTAATAAACATTTCCAGGCTATATAACAATGTGAATCTAAAGTCTATGATTGGTCTACATTTGTTTTGTTTGTGTGTTTTAATTTTGACAGTTAATTTAGGAACACTTACATTTTCCTTTGGGAGTATTTCTTTACTTTGATTCGCCTGGATATAATCTTCTTTCACTAGTTTCTTCAATTTTCTGGTTAATGTTCGCTGTATTTCAATAAACGGATCTTTTTCCAATTTTTCGAAGCTTTCTTCAGATATAATTTCTCGTTTCTTATTTTCTAATTCATGTAAATCCATAATAACTATCTGATAATATAAATCTTTTTTTAACAGTTTGAATTAATCAGAAGTAATCAATACTTAAACTTAATGTAGATAACTAAGTGCGTAGTGAAAGTCGCCAGCAGCTTTGACGGTTAGAACCTAAATATTATAATTATTGATTTTAATACGAGATGGCGCCTAACGCCTCATTCTAGTGCCAAATTCATTTCTAATTTATAATCATTATATCCAAATTTAGCCCGATCATTTACGGCAGTTGTGGGAGTATATATGCTTATTATCGGGTTTCCATTGGTGTGTATATTTCATTAAATAACTGCTCGTTTCTACTTTCCAGGCAGTTATGTATACATCACAAGAGAAAATTATTGGAATCGTGTAAAATTTGACCCTCTGAGATTTTGGAACTTTCCACATATTGAAAAAATACCATAATTGTGTATATGTTGATGTCTATTTCGTTTAATATCTCAGGATGAGGTAAAGATTATGAAGTGAAATTTCGATTCTAGGTTGTGTATAAGGGACTTTGATGCTATTATAATTTGGTGGATAAAAATTGACGAAATAGAGACATAGGTGTTCACGTGTCGTATCTCGCGTTGGGTCGGAATTAATGAAGATTTTACTTGTTAGTATTTGCGGTGTTTTTTTAAAACGCATCTCTACCGTCAAAATTCAGTTTTTTGCCATTTTATAATAAATATATAGAAAGGTTTTATAAGAAAATTTCATAATAGATAGTTGCATACACAGTATTTCTTTATTTATTGTTATTAATAATATAAAAGTTATTTTTTAAGTAAAATGACATAACAACCGGGAAAGTTACGCAACTTGTTCCTAGGAATTTTAATTAAATGTTTAATGTTTATTATTTAATAATATTTGTTTTAATGTATTGTAGCCTAAATATTACAGAATATATAAGGTTTTTGTAAAATAATTGTTTTGTTTATATTTATAATAAATATCGAAAGTACCCCTTGATTTGCGGAGAACTGGTATTATGAAGCTGTAATTGAAAATATTTTGATTACAGCTAGATAATGGCATGTAGTGGGTTGGAATGATGGGCAATCTGCCAATCTCGGAGGACTTTCTATCAAAGCTGATTCCTATTTATGTGCTAGGCACGCGAAGAAAACTCGAAAAACTCACTCCACGTGCTCAACCTGTTTGTCAGGCGCAATCTCGCGACCAAATTCGAAAGTTCAGTACTTTAATCCATTAGCGACCGAATACGTTAAGAGATAATACAGGAATTACTATATGGTTACAATACAATTCAGAATATTTTAAATGATTTCATTGAAATCAAAATTAATTTAAAATTATTAATCTTTACTCAACAATGCGGTTTAACCACTTATTTTGAAGTCGAACTTGGATATTTTATTAGTTAAAAACTACTTTCAAAATTGCATGAGTAAGTTTGAATGAAATCGGTAAATTAATAAACGGAAACTCGTTGANATTAAGTAAATAGCATCTATATTTAATCTAAATTAAAAATCTAGACAGAAAACTTTCAACAAAGACTAGTTGAAAGTTTTCTAAGTTCTGTTAAAAGATCTTTTAGTTAAGAATAAATGTGTGAAAGGATCATTTATTAAATTAAAAGAGTGACAGTGAAAAGGAACACAAATTTTGGCATTATGTGGTAGTAACATACTATTGAAATAACTAAAGTAATAATCTATCAAAATAAATTATGCAATTTCCAAATGATGAGAAATGCAGAGATGATGTCTAATCTTTACTTATTATTAGGCAGATTATTTTGGCAATTCATTAAGACATTAAATTTTAAAATAAAATAAAAGTGGTTTTAATATATTCAGTCAACTAGATATTCACATGGTAAAGCATCAGCCTATTACTATAAGGAATCAAAGTTTGATTTATGTGCTGGACTCATAATTTATTGTATGTTATTCACATTGGTATGACACTAATGTGAATAATATATAAAGAGAAATTATCTCTTTCTGTGTCAACATATCTGTCTGAAATTCACAAAATTGAGGCTGGCTACATAGCCATGTATATGATGCTTAATGAGATAATTAAGAATAGTCGTACATTTCGATTTCAGTTGAGAATAAATTTTACATATTTAATGTAACTAATGAATATTAAATTTAGCACGCTTCGATTTGCTCTCATGCATTTAGTAACTTCTCGTCACTACCACTCAGTATCGACAGACGCGCAACTGCATATTTATAAAATGAAAGAGTAGTAACTAATGAATATTAAATTAAACACGCTTCGATTTGCTCTCATGCATTTAGTAACTTCTCGTCACTACCACTCAGTATCGACAGACGCGCAACTGCATAACTGAATACATATTTTATCTGTAAAAACAATCTCTAGGTCGTTCTATAGGTCGCTCATTCCTCTCCTTCTACCCTAACTTGTTTGACGGCCGGATGGCCGAGCAGTCAAGGTGCCAGCCTTCCGGTGGGATCGATCCGGACGGATCGAAAAATCCCCATCTATTTTTTGGGGATGGTCCATCTGGATATGTCGGACACAGAGTCGATAGACGTACTGGTCCTTGCGCTATGCTCTCCAGTAGAATTAATTTCTAAGAGTTCCGATATTTGGCGTGAGAGTCGCTCTATGGCTAGAAGTTTGTTTATCTATTTGGCTAGTAGTTAGTCTTTTCGTTTTCAAGATTTTTGTAACTTTCTCTATTGTTTTATCAAAATATCTTATTCGTAATTGCATTTTTTAATTTTATATCATGTACTGTATAAAGAAAGAAATGTGTATTTGGTTCAAAAAAATTTATAAGTTGATAATTTGAAATTACAGATAAGGATGTATCAATAGATAAATCGAAAATAGTTATATTTTCAATTTAATTTATCCAGGTTTTGAATAGATAGCTGTTTAAAACTGTTAAAACTAATATCTTAAATACTATAGTAGAGATAACAGAACTATCACGCTACTACTGGTAACATAAAAATGACACTTCTATCATCAAAATGCAATCTTCTATTAATTTAATGTTACCAGTAGCATTGTGATAAGTCTCTGTTATCATTACTATAGTGTTTGAGATATTAGTTTCAGCAATTTTTAAGACAAGAAGCTGTTTTATAATGTTTAAAACAATTATATTGCTATATATTGTGAATGAAAGGTTTGTACATAATATTCTGTGTATAATATATATGTTCAATAAATAGGTAATGATAAAATAAGTAAATAAGTTTGCATTTTACTGTTTTGTTTTATTACACATGTATGACAATATAATTAAAAAAACCGTAGCCCATCCTCCGATACATTTAAATAGCCATAGAAATTAAATCCAGATAAAGACAAACTATTTTTTAAAATAATTTATTAACTTTAACACTACATAAAGTGTGCTATACAATTTTACTTCATTTAGTATGGTGAGAAATAGTATTTGGGATAAAATAGATTTGTATCAAAATATGAGATATTACATTTCTTATGAAACTCGCGTTGACTCTACATAGTTTGGTAATTTATATAATATTCTGCAATCAAAAGTATAATACGAATAAAGATTTATTGATGGCCTACTATATTTGTCCTTTGTTTATATAGGTTTAAAATATCACTAACATGTCTTTGTTTTAGCCTCCACGTCATCACTAATTACTATCACTGTCAATTTCTTATAAAACTGTCTGAATTCTTGCATCCTACATTTACTTATTTTATTTGTCAACTTCTATATCATCATCTCTAAGTTATTATGTGTCTTTAAATATGTTGAAAATGTTGTCTAAATAGTTGGAATTTCCTCTTTTTCCTCTAACAGACTATATTTAAAATTCAAGAACTAAATTTACTGATTTTTAATCCCCCTCTCTAACCTGTTCCTAACTTTTTTTTGGCTCAACTTTAATCTCGCTCTATCTCATTAATAAACACAATATAAATTGTGAATAATATATATTCAATTTCATAGCTCTTTTCTCACTGCAATCTACAATAATTCACCCAATTTTAATAAATAAAAAAATATCGGCTTAACTTTGATAAACTCTAAAGCCATCCTAAGTCTTTTTTTTCGTAACACTTTAAATCTATCCTATCTTAACACATAATTTAACATTTCTATACATTTCCTTTTCTTCCTGATTCAAAGAGTTCTTGGGAATCCCGAAGACATTCCGTATTAATAATATAGGCCTATATACAGGCTTAACTATAAATATTTTGGCTACATTTTCTTGCCTTTAACGAAAACTCCTAACCCAAAAATATTTAAAAATGAACAGAAATGGTAAGCAAAAACAAACAGTCTAATCAATTTAAAGTCTAAAATCGTGAAAGTGACAGTTAATAGAAATATAAACATTAACGACATATACGAATAAATAATGTTCAAAACCGAATTAAAATAGTATTTATAAGCAGTCCTTTAAAGAAGACAAAAG